TTCTTTCATATATTATGACGATGATGATGTTAGGATAAATCAAGACTGAATAAAATTCGGGCAGATGAACAAGAGGCGATAAGATTGCAAAACCATTCAACACTTGGCTTGCTGGTGCCTTGAATCGGTAAGATGCGGGCAGAATGAAAGAGATCCAAAACCACGCTAATATCCACGAAAGGAGATTGCGATTACACCTGCAACGAACCAGTGCACTTGCTGTTCTTCGCACACAATTTATCCCTAAATCATGGTGGTTTGCAGTTAAAATTGAAGAAACAAATAAGTTGCAGAAAGCGGTTTTCCAGTAACGATCACAGTTTCAAATCAACACAGTTGATACATTATGCAAGATTCCTTTGTGCAGAATACGGAGGTTTTTCACTGATTTAAATAAGACTTTGGATTCGGTGTAAGCCAAAGCTATTCTACAAGCCATTTCGAATCAAACAATCGCGCAGGCATAAATCCGGATTAAAGGAGATTCTCTCACCGATTCTTACGCAGTAACCTTCTTTTCGACGAGACTATAAAATTAAGAATTGTGGGCAGCATGGAGTGAAACGACAGTTGCTTCTCAAAAGCCTTAACTACACTGTGAAAATATTATACGGAAATTTAAAGGGGTGGATTTTTACTAAAACAAGGTACATCAGATATTATTTTTCTGAGGACAACAATGATCACCGAAGAAAATCCCTAATAATTACAGAATTTGTTAATTTGCAATTGATGCAAAGAAAACTCATCTCCGAATCCACGGAGAATAAACGAAGTGAATGAGAACGTGTATCAGTCTTAGTCCGGAACGAGGCTCGAAAATCGTCCTGAAAAAATCTGTGTCTGTACGGATGAAAAGAGAGTTAGGTTTGGAGTTAAGGAGATGAAAAGGAGTTTTCTTTTTTGCTGCAAAATTCTTGTTCCACCATTAGCATGACCAAAACATGTAAGTGAAAAGTTCAATTTTGCCTTTACGAGTTCTGCTATATGAAAGCAAAACATTGATGCAGCACACCTGCATGAATAAATTACCACTGACCCATGTCAGGCGATGGCAGAATGCATTGTCTTCAAAGAAATGGCGTAGTTCCAATTTGGTTTAAGCCTTACTGTGAAGGCAACGCAAACCAGAAAAAATTGGGCTTGTCATGTGGCTAGGATGACGGACAACAGTTGGACAAAATACGTTAGCGAATGGCATTTATGCGAAGATAAACGAGCATTTAGAAGACCATAGCGGAGGGATTCACGTGAACGTCTGCGTGAAACCACTTTGACGCAGAAAGACTGAGCAGAATGAAGAAGCTTGCAGCTGCGTCAGTGATAGGAAGGAATGCGATGGTGAAACATTTGCTAATCAAACTAATCAAAAAATCAAAATAAAGCATTAAAAATTTTCAATCACTGGGCTGTTACTTTAGCATAATTCGAAATATGTTCCAAAACTCTTTTTTCAATAATGCCGGAACTTTGAAGTTTGTGAAAAGCGTTTCCAAGTAATTTGAAAGAAGTTGTGTGCTGCAAACTAGATCATTTAGATGCTAGGCCGATTAGCCAATGGGACAAGCATTCCTCCGCAATTTGTTCATTCGTTGCGATAGTAAACTGGTACTAATACTTGCTGCGGAGTCAGACCTAATATCGGATTGCTTGCAGCTACCCTTAAAGTTTGCTGTTGGCATCTTCGTTACTCTAGAATTACTTCCAAATGTCTCCGCCTCTCACGGCGGATATGAAGGGGTCTCAAGTCGGTTCAGCCAGAAGCATTTGAAAGTTCTGGTCTGAAATTTTATAGCACTAAGATCTTTTTGACATCTCACTGAATGTGCCGAGCGAGTACCGTAAAAAACCCGTTAAGGAGTCATTTTTTCAAAGTAGTTGTAAACAATATTTATTAGAATAGTGGAAAATTTTTTCTTTTCAGTATTAATCCATTTGGAAAATTACAGTGAGAATAAACTTTTTTAAGGATGGTTCCGTCGAAGATAAACTGCGCGCTGGTGGCAAACGTCTTAGTGTAGCAGCTCGCGTCGATATGGCGACGCAGATTTCACGTGGTTTGGAATATCTTCATTTCAAAATGTGTATTCACAGGTTGCAATTTCCAAACATTTCAAACAGAAGCTTTCTCAAATTTAAGGAGCGCTCTCTTCCAAGAAAAACAATTTAGAAGCACTGCTACCAGGATTGCCCGGTCTAGCATGCAGAATGACTTGGTTTTACTGATGTGTAACTAAGTGAAAGCCTTCCTCTCCCATTACTATCCACTGCTAAGCAGCCGTGCCCATATCCATCTCGTAGCAGTGAGAAATCTTTTAAAAAAATACAACCCACTAATTTGTCTCAAAGCCGCATAACAAAGAAATTTAGTGAGTGGTGTAGCTGTAGGTTGACTGAAGCGACGTGAAAAGTACGAACCACATTCATTATTTGCTTTACCTCGCGCTTATTCTCACACACAAATGTACAAGTGTATATGCGTTTACAGCCTTACTGTTTTAGTTGTATAATTTTTTGCAACCATTATCACTGGCAGTTTTAATACCGTCGAAACTCGGCTGATACTTCGCTTCTTATGGGATGCAGGGAACTGACAAGACACAGTTTTTGTTATGCTCTCTAGTTCCCTAATTCCATGCTATGATGAAACGCTTATGACGGGAAAGTACAAAGTACGTTACATCAAACAGTATCTAACTGCACCAGGGTTGCCTATATATTATTCTCGACCTTTTCAGCTTACTACCCGTTGGGTAGTTCTAGCTAGGTTTCTTTTTGATAATAAAATTCAGTCTTTTGGGCAGAAGAACGACTGACATTTAGGGACATTGCAACCCGAAACTGTTTGTTATCTGGAAGTATTGTCAAACTGGCCGATTTTGGAATGTGTCGAGCGACGCTCGTCTACAAAATAGATCTCACGAAGCCACAAAATGTTCGTTGGCTAGCACCGGAGGTATGGGGAATAAGCTTTCCTCACTTATAAATTTTCCACTTTCAATCATTCAAAAAAGTGATGTTAGCTTCAATAAAAGTATTTTTAATTAAGGGAGCTTTGAAGTAAGAAAAGAAACACATTAGGTTGCTGTTAAGAAACATTTAGAAACAAGATGGGAAACAGGAAATAAAACACAAAGGCAAAAGTCAGAACGTTTGTCATGCAGGCGGATATAAACAGTATGCTGTGTACTTTGTAGTTTTTTGCAAATATAATTTTCGTCGCAGAAGCTGAAGCCCGCTAAGCAGGGCATGTTGTTCGTTATATCGCAGGACAACTCGACCTCGACCTGGCGCATGAATCTGCATGTGGTTGCAGCCCCGTAACAACAACACTGCAGTTGTCTGATGCTTGTGGGCGCAGTTTTTCTAAGAATCTAAAAAGTCAAACAAGCGGATGAGATCAGCTTAAATTTTTTAGTTACAGTGTCACAGCTTCAAGTGTTTCATTGCAGTCCGAAAATCACACAGTTTAACTTTAAGAGATTCCCTCTAGTTTTTGTTAAACTCTAAATGTGGTAGCATTTATAATGATCTAAGGTTTGGCGGTCAGGCGAAACTCGATTCTGCACCGATGTCTATGCTTTCGCAATTACACTATGGGAATTGTTTGAAATACCGTATATCCACCCATACAGTAACTGGAAAGCATACAAAGTCAAAGAAAAGGTTTCCCTTTAACAGTTTACTTTGATGTTCTTGGCTCGACTGCAATAATAATGTCCACACAGTGTACTTTTTCACCACAAAAAAATTAAAATTCGTTTTATTTGTCACTCAATAAAATCATCAGTAATCACGGAGCTATAGCCAAAATTTTTTCTTTTTGTTTACTAGTTGACTTGTTAACGCAAAATTTAACGTTACTTCTGCTACTGGCCGCTGTTCGAGTGAAAAATTAAAAGGTGCGTTTTAAACGCCCTTGCAATACTCATGCGCCAACAATTTGTTATTTATTCAATCAGTGCAACAACGGTGTTTGCTATGAACTTGGAAAAAGGACACTCTGCTAACCGGAATTCGAATTACAGCATTTGCATACTCCTACAAGAGTGTAATCGAAACGGACCCTGAAGAACAAAACTCTGCTGGGGACCTCTCCCCTGCTTTTTTTTGGTTCTAAAAAGGGCCAGACTATGAGCGAACGAAATCGCCGAAATCGAAAAATGAAGATTTCTGTTTTGGGCGAGAGGAGGTGGAGCGGGAGGGGGAGAACAAGCGACCTGTCTCCTTACGTTATTCACGATGCAATAAAAGCAGTGAAATTGTACGGCATAAGCACTGATCTTAGGTTCGCTGAAGGCGCCATCATCGTAAGAAAGCGATATGCGGCTAAGTATTACCGCACATTAACAACTGAAGAAAATTTCATTCAGAGGCGATAAGGGTTCCATGAATTAGTACCTGAAAAGCAAGCTGAAAGAGGCGTGAGTTGTTAGGGTACCGGACACTCTAATACATTTTAACATCCGAACAAATTCATAAATCACAGATTTGACCAAAAAGTAGACTATGAAAGATACTCCGCCAATCTGAACTTTATCGCAATCAAACAATGTACAAGTTCATGTTTTCAAAATGAATAAGAAATATGAATGGATAAAAGTTTCAGGTTATGGCTGGCTATCGATTACCAAGCCCTGGTGAAATGCCGGATGCCGTGGCAACGTTAATGAGAAGATGCTGGGATCAGGATCCGAAACGACGACCAACAGCAAAGGAGGTACGCGACGAGCTAGAAGCTATAAATAAGGTAAGAATTTTACCTGTTTTGCAATCAAGTAAGGGTGTTTGCTCGTGAACTAGTGCCTCTTGGCATAGACTTTTACAGAAGTACAATGGTGAAGAAGATGTACGCACAGCGATCTTCTCCCATTCAGCAATATTCGATGATTCGGCCAAGAGTCCATCGCATAGCATCGGCAAAAACTCACCTTCTGGCCATCGACAAGGCAGTACCCTAAAGCCAAAGTGAAAACACTGGATATCGTGCGATACTGTGCTTATACATATCTGTCTGTCTGTTTCCCGGTCCGTCATTCTAGTGAAAATAAACATTACTAAACAGAGCACCAAATGGGACGGGGCAGGCTTGGAGTTCGTTGTGAACTGCATCAAGACACTGCTGTAATACGAACGGGGTTATAATTCTGCCGCAGTATGTGCAGCTAAGTTATGTCAGCCTTCAGAGAGCGGTTCCTTAGGAAAGAGAAACACTGTTGTGGGTGACCTCTGGGAAGATGATGCGAGTATACAGTGATCTGCACGAACTGAAGGTATCGCGTCAATGCGGGGAGGTCCGCCACAAATGTGTTGAGGAAAATGTTGGCTCCCTGGCGATGGTGCAGCAGTTCTGCTGTGAAATGAAAAAAAAAAAAATGAAACGTAAAGATGAATATGCAAATGGTCCATTATTTTGACACAGAAGAGCGACTCGGCAATGTACTCGTGTCTCTGTAAGGTAGTAGACTTGCCCTCGTTCCAGAAATCAAAGGTCCCTTCCCGTTCCTGCTTTGTTTTCTTCGAGAAGGCCTGAATAACTCAAAATAAATGCCCAGCTCACCAACTGCCGGTGCGAAGATGCGTTTTTTGCATAATTCCCCGCAGGTTTTAACTGCTAACGGTACCGGTTTTTCCGGCAGATGCTTACAGCTAAAAGGATTGAGACTGACCGCCAGGACTGACAGGAAACATCCCCTTAAAATTTCAACTTTCTAGCTTTCCTGGTTTCCGAGTTAGCATATTATTCGGAAAAAAATTTTGGCGGGAGTGTACGTGGGTACCATACGGGCAAGAGCGCCCATTTTGAGTGTAAGAACAGCTACATGCATGTAGATTAAGTTTCTAAAGTTTTAGCTCTGTAGCTTTTGTAGGTCTCGAGATAAAAAAGCGGTAGAGACGAACACACCGTCACACACACACGGACCACCCCTCGACAGTATGCGCTTCCTGCATTGCATACATGCAAAAAATATATAATAAAGAACAGAAGCAAGAACTGGCATTCATTTCGACACTTCTAAACCAGATTTACTGTGAGCTCGTGAGCTCGCAAAATGACATCAACTGGAGAACTAATTTTCAAAATCTGCGACTGCGCTCTAAAGTTTTAAAACAGACCTGAATTTAATCTATGGTTCCCAGTCAAGAAAATAGGGTCAGAGCTGTTTTCAGGTCGCATTTTATCAATTGATGGGCCGACTGCAATAAATTTGAGTTGTAGATTATTACAACTTTGAGTTACAAAATCATCCCAAACTTGCACTTGAGGTCACACATTGTAATAAACACAAACCTTCCCAGCTTTGCTGATTTTGCTGAATTCGAAAATCCGGAACGGCATCCAGCAAATGCAAACATACATGGAATGTCGTAACAGTATGCCTTTTGTGCACTGTTGCAGCATGAAACGCGTAAAAGGAGGGAGAGTATGTATTTTTTTTTTTATGCGTTTTCGTTTACATGCAAATACAAAAACGCATATTGTGAGGACCCGATGCGTGTGTGTATGTGTGTATGTGTGTGTGTTTGTGTGTTCGTCTGTCCGGCTATTTCAACTCGGCAACCAAGCAAGCTACGGTGCCAAAATTTTGCCAGTGGGTTCCCCGGCCAAGTGCCACTCCAGGACCGCGGTACCAACCCTTACGTAAGTCTGGTCCGGCGTACGACAGAGTGAAAGTTTTGGCCGGGATGTTCGCAGCTCAATTACAACTTAAAGTTGTCAAATTCAGCCCCTTGGTGTGCGTGGTTCTTACGTACGGCCCTGTGAAAATTTTTGGCGGGAAGAATTGCTAATTCGGGAACCAGGAAACCTGTGAGGCTGAAATTTTAAGATGTTCCCAGCCCCTATACAACTTAAAGTTTTCAAATTCAGCCCCCAGGCACGCGTGGCTCTTAAGTGCTGTCCCGTAAAACTTTTTGGCGGGAAAATGACTAGCTCGGGAGCCAGGAAAGCTGGAAGGCTGGACTTTGAAAAAAGTGTTTCCAGCTCACGTGCAACTTAAAGGCGCCAAACTCAACTCCAAAGTATGCCCCAGATGACGCACGATTCCGTGAAAGTTTTGGCGGGAAAACTGCTAACACGAGGACCAAAATTTGGAAAGTTGAAATTGTAACGAAATGTTCCCTGTTTAAGTACCATGTAGTTGCGCAGTTAAATTCCCAAACTTTGAGGACCAGTACGTCACAAATTCTAGCTAATGAATTTCCAAGTGATCTTGCTACAGCACAAAATACTGCAACCCAGGCTGGAACGCACCAGGCGAGCCGGTGCGATCATGCGTTTTTGCACCAGACTTGAAA